TGCCTGCGTTACTCTGCCTATATGCTGCAGTTGTGATCTGGAGAGATCAGTTCTAGAACAAACAGGGCATAGATTGAATTAATTGACCAGTTATGTAACCAAAAAAAAAATCTACATTTGTAAGTTGCACTTTCACAATAAAGAGATTACGCTACCGTACTTGTATGAGGTGAATTGAAAAATACTATTTTTAATCACTTTTACAATGCAAATATTTGTAACCAAAATAATAATATAAAGTGAGCACTGTATATTTTGTATTCTGTGTTGTAATTGAAATCAATATATTTGAAAATGTAGGGGGGCGGAATCCAAATTGCAATTAATCACAATTAATTTTTTTAAGTTAATCACGTGAGTTAACTGTGATTAAGTCAACAGCTCTACTTCAAACTCTTTTCCCCACCACATTTCTTGTGTGGTATCGTGAGCCCACTTGTTACTATTTCCAAAAACAGTCAGAATTTATCTTGGGTTGGCCTTCAGCTGAAATTTTTAATTTCTCATATTGACTAAAATACTTCCAGGGATCCAGAATCTTCCTGCCAAACTATCTGCTACAGGCATCAGAACTGCATTTCATCCACTTTGTCACCTACGTCGGCTTTCCTATTTCAGAATATACTTCTGGAACTTCCTTCCTGGTATTCAGGACGTTCTGTGAAGTCTTTCAACCTCATCCCACGCTAGGCCATGCGTTGTCTTGATCACTCTGCATTGCTATGTAGGCCTCTGTTCCTTACTTGTGTCTCCTTAGTCAGAGACTACTCTCTTCATTTGTGATGCCCATCTCATGCTTTTTCTTTGCCATGGAATCCTTTTTCCTCATTGCACCTCATTTTAAAATCTCTCATTTGTTTACAAATGACATTTTTCCTAATACTATATTAGGGACATCATGATTAAAGAAAGAAACTTGTATATAAAATACATTTTGTCTACATGCACTTAATTTTTGTGTGTACTAGTTTTGCAGCCTTTTAATTTTGACTTTCATTTCATGATACAAAATGGAAAGTATTATTCAGATGGACATGAAAATTACCTCTAAAACTGTCAAGAGCTCATGAGGAATGCTTATTAAATCTAAAAGACTTCTGGTTGCAAATAATTATTTATAGCAGCATGTTACAAATAGATGCTAATAAGGACCTTGAGTGGAATTTCTAAATTATCAGGTGGTAAGATCTAATTTCCTTGATGTACGTAGTTTCCATTAACATTAATGAGACTTGCACTGGGGGGCGGGAATACACAATAGGTATGAAATAGTTCATGAGAAAACTATATAGCAGTTCAGAAGACTAAGGACACCAATATGAAGAACTTTGTGGTCAATCTGTCTGTCTTAATGTTAACACAGACTGTTTCCTCATGTATTGTGGGATCTTGAGGACATTCATGTGACTAAACATGATTTTTAAATATAGTTAAAATAGCATTATGTGATGTAATTTTTGGAATAAATCAGTAGACTTAGTAGTGTTCCTGCTAATGCAAACTTAAAATCTGCTGCCATGTTTTCATTCTAATTTATCCTGAATTTGTTTTTATCAGTAACATAAATGGAATTTATGCTGTTGTGTGTGTCAGAGCTGATATCTGACTACCATTGTGTTCTTTATCTCTTCTGATATATTCATGAGCTTGACCTGTGTACTGAATGCGTATTGTGTGAAATGAGAAAAGCCTCATTTAAAGATCACCTTTTATAAAACGTAAAGGTACCAGAAGCTCCAGCGATTTGGAGGATGATCTCACTGTGTTCTGTGCAAAAATACAATGGGGTCCCTTTCAGGGTTAAATAATCAGTTTTCATCAACTTTTCCCTTTATACTTCAGTTAGGATGTAAAGAAAGGTGCATTCTCATTGGTTGATGTAACCATTAAAATATGTTGATTTACAACTAAATAGAGCCTTTACACTGGATTTGTACATCTTTTTGTTACCTGGGGAGGTACAACCCTATTAATTATATATATTTAAACAATTATATAGATTAATATTTTCATATTCTAATTATACCTTTTTAGTATGTTAGAAAATTGTGAATGATATATTGCTTATTTACTAGATAATTAACTTTTTGCTCATGATTTGTGTCAAGCTGCATTAGGATGGTAATTTGAATTTAATTAAATACACAACAGCATATACAACTTAATTTTATTAAACAAAACAAACCCTTAATGCGGTATCTGACCAGTTGTGCCATATTAATATAGCTTGACCTAAAAAGTTAAATGTTTTCCTTCTGATTCTTTCTTTATATAGAACACGCAACGCTTTTGATAGAGGCTTGTGGATTTAGCATATTTACTTTTTATGTAAATGTTTTAAAAGGTTATAAGAAGTTTAGGCCTTAACATAGTGTGTATTAAATTCAGTTTCAATTTTAAACTCGTTTATTTGTAAAAAGAATTTTTATTTATTTTTATTTATTTATTTATCCATCCACCCTGATCCCTTTTTCTTCCCCACACCTTCTGGTAGGGAGAAAGGTTCCAGTAGGGTCTTATCCATCTCAATGCACCAGAACAGATGTGTTTCTTGGTCTATTCTTTCTCTGAAGTCCATTACCCCTGCCAGTGCAGGATTACAGTAGACTTTCAGTGGTTGGTGGCTTTCCAGTATGGTTGTAAACCTCTCATGCCATCTAAGTGAGAACCATGTCAAAGATCTAACATATCTCACTGCCACAGTTTCCTTGATACTCAGCCCAAATGCCACTCTTGTTTTCATCCTGTTCTTCTTAATTTATGCCAAAAAATTTAAAATTATGTGCACATTATTTTAAAATTATGCCAATTTTATTTGTCAATACATAAATGTGGCTCCAGCATGGCAGTGGGGAACACAGGCCACTGGCTGCATTGAGGTGGGAGATCACCCTGAAGCCCCCACCACCCTCAGTACGAGCACTTGGCAGTGAGGCTGCACCCAACCCTGACACAGTACAAGGGCTGGGCCTGCCCCAGAAACACCCCTCTCTACCAGGCACACCAGGTGTGGGTGGGCAGGCTCAGCCCAGCAGGATCCAAGTGTGGAGGGGCTTAGTGTGGGAAGATCCAGGTGTGGGGTGAGAGGTTTCTGTGTTTTGCAGTCTGGGTGCAGGCAGCTCAGTGGGAGATCTGGATGCACAGAGGCTCGTTGGGCGAGTTCCCGGTGCAGGGGCAACGGGACTGTAGGGGATCCAGGTGAAGGCGGTTGGGACTCAATGGGGGGGAGAGGGGGGTCTGGGTGCTGGAGGAGTGGGGCTTGATGAGTTAGGGGTCCAGGTGCAGCTGGTTGGGGATCAATGGGGTGGGGGACTCGGCGGAGAGGTCCAGGTGTAGGGGGGTAGGGCTTCTCAGGGTGAGGGTTCGATGGGCCTGCTTAACAGGGAAGCCCCAGCTGCTGCCAAGGGGATGCCACATGCCAGGCTCCCGCTCCTCCCCCACCCCCTGCGATTTCCCCATCCCCTTTTCTTCTGCATCCCCCTCCCTCCACTCCCACATTCGCCTTCCCCTCACCCCACCCATTTCTTCCACACACCTCTTACCCAGCCCTACTGCGGTCACTTACTGTTTCACAGAAAACAGGAAGGCTCCCAACACACAGAAGGGGAGCACGACTGGCACTAGGAACCAGGAGGCGGCGTTCAGCTGCAGAGTCAGCGGAGCCCAGACACAGCCTCCTTCAGCTAGGCAGCTCTGTGCATGCCTCACCTCTGTTTGGGAGGGAGCAATCCCCCCCCAAACTGTACCCATGCTCCTCCTGTCCTGTGTTTCCTCCCCCCGCCCCACCCCCACAGTGCAGCTTCCCTGCCGTTTTCTGCATGGAAGCACAGGAATTCTGCGGGGGGGCAGGGCTGTTTTCTGCGAGCGCACAGTCACAGAATTCCCCCAGGAGTACTAATTATACGACCTTAAGTAATTCCTCTTCCTCTGTGTTTATACCCTTCAAATAATTGTAGTCTGTTGTGTCCAGTTTTGGACATTACTTAGCCTCACTATATATAAATTTATATCTTCCTACTTAAGTTCCAACAAGCCTCTTAGTTTTGTTGCCCTTCTCAGAACGCCCTCTGCCACCACCACCCCCATCCCAGGGCTGCAGGGACTACACCCCGAGCCTGCACCCCAACCCTCTGCCCTGAGCCCCTGCCACACCTCTGCACCCCAACCCTCTGCCCTGAGCCCCCTTCCACGCCCCTCCTGCACCCCAACCCTCTGCTCTGAGCCACCTCCTGCACACCGCACCCCTCCTGCACCCCAACCCCTTGCCCTGAGCCCCTTCCTGTGCACCACACCCCCTCCCACACCCCGCACTCCCTCCCACACTCCAACCCTCTGCCCCAGCCCTACATTCATGGCCCTGCATGCAATTACCCCACCCAGATGTGGCCCTCGGGCCAAAAAGTTTTCCTGCCTCTGCTTTAGTGTTTTAGATATTTTTATACCTACTCATCACCTGTAAAATTGGATAATACTTCCTTTTTCAGTCTTTTCTGTTGAGAATGGAAGCCCAAGATGAAAATAATTCATATCTGCTCATCCTGAAGAGACTGCCACTAAACCATCAGTCCTCCCTGTGACTCTTAACTACAACTCTGATTTATGCTATTGGATTTGCCGGGGCAGTAAGAAGAAGAGGGATTGAAGGAAGAAAGACTATTTAGATGTTGTAAACCTCATGGCAAATCCCAAAGGGACGTGGCCTCCTTGCAGACCGTGCCACCTGGGTCGACCTCTGGTTAGGTCCTTAAGGGGTTCAGTCTGGATATTTTCAGTTTGTCCATCACTGGCAACCGTATCGTGCCACTGCCTCCTTTGGTGCCCACATTATTGCCAGTAGTGTAGTGGCATTCCTTGGTGTAAACACTTCAGAATTTGTTGATCTTCCATTCTAATAATATGTCCATACCAAGAAAGCCATCAAACCAAACTAATACTGATAGAGGCAATTGCTAGGTTTGGCTTTGAATATCCTTATTTCTGATCTTGTCCTGCCTCATAACATGGAGCAGCGTATGAAGATGGTGAGAGTCAAAAACATCAATCCAGTATTCTTCAGCCTTCCTCAGCACCCATATTTCACTTTTGTACAACAGCACTTCTATACATGTGGATCTATAGATCTGCAGCTTTGTGATAAGCTTGCTGTCACAGCATCCCCACAGATGCTGCTGAAACATGACAGAGGCTGCTGTTATACAAGCAACCACGTCTTTAGAGCATCCTCCAGTACTGTCTGTGATACTGCTCATTATTCAGAAGTGCTGCCATGCAATTTGGTAGTTACAGTATGTCTGTAGCAATAAGAAAATGAGTTATAAGAAAACAATCTAGGCTATGGCTTCTCTTTCCCTATTCCAGCAAACATTATATCTCACCCTTAATTATAAATTTTATTGTAGGGTGGGAGTTCATCTTCAGTATATGGAACTAAATAGGCTGCATTTTTAAATTTTTTGTTGTGAAACAGCAAACCAATCTAAGGTTGTTTATGTAATATCACTTATAAGAAGGGGATTAAAAAAAGACAAATTTAATTAACCATCAAGACATATATGCCTTAGAATAATCATGTGATCTCATTATTGTAACCATAGTCCTTCCTCTTGCCTTTCTCCATTTTTGTCCATTTATAACCCTTTTGATGTGTTCTGAATTTAGATAATCCCTGACCTGGAAAACACAACAATCTCTTAACTTTAGAGACCATGTATTTTTCCCTGCTTTTTTTAAATTTTATTTTTTTAAAGGTACAAAGGTCCAGACTTTAAAGGAATCTAGATGTTGCAACACTGAGCATTGCAGTGACTGATTGACTTAGGTGCCTAAGTCACTTTTGAAAATGAAACTTTGTCTCCTACATTAGTTAGAAGTTGCTCTGTTCAGCATTACAATGCCCAAGTACCTTTTAAAAATCTGGGTCGAAATTCCCAACTCTGCTAGATCTGTGGTTGCACAAAGGCCTTTGTAATTGGAAAATTTAGATTTGCCCTTCCTATTGATTTTTTTTCTATGGCTATAAAGCGATTTTAAAAAATTAATCACACGATTAAAAAATATTTTTGGATGTTTTCTACATTTTCAAATATATTGGTTTCAATTACAACACAGAATACGAAGTGTACAGTGCTCACTTTATTTTTGATTCCAAGTATTTGCACTGTAAAAAAAAAATAAATAGTATTTTTCAATTCACCTAATACAAGTACTGTAGTGCAATCTCTTTATCATGAAAGTTGAACTTACAAATGTAGAATTATGTACAAACAAAACTGAACTTAACAAAAACACTGTAAAACTTCAGAGCCTACAAGTCCACTCAGTCCTACTTGTTCAGCCAATCACTAAGACAAACAAGTTTGTTTACATTTGCAGGAGATAATCCTGCCTGCTTCTTGTTTATAATGTCAGCTGAAATGTCGATGACCTTTCGGGGTCCCTTCCAGTTCTAGGAGATAGGATATCTCCATATATTATTATTATTATTATAAAGTGAGAACAGGCATCCTCATGGCACTGTTGTAGCCAGCGTCACAAGACATTTATGTACCAGATATGAATCTTTAGCACATGTCCCTTCATGCTTCAACCACATTCTAGAGGACATGCGTCCATGCTGATGACGGGTTCTGCTCGATAACAGTCCAAAGCAGTGCAGACCGACGCATGTTCATTTTCATTATCTGAGTCAGATGCCACCAGCAGAAGGTTGATTTTCTTTTTGGTGGTTCGGGTTCTGCAGTTTCTGCAGTGGAGTGTTGCTCTTTTAAGACTTTTGAAAGCATGCTCCACACCTCGTCCCTCAGATTTTGGAAGGCACTTCAGGTTCTTAAACTTTGGGTTGAATGCTGTAGCTATCTTTAGAAATCTCACATTGATACTTTCTTTTCGTTTTGTCAAATCTGCAATGAAAGTGTTCTTAAAATGAACAATGTGCTGGGTCATCATCCAAGACTGCTATAACATGAAATATGTGGCAGAATGTGGGTTTTTTTTTAACCAGCACCATCAGCATGGAAGCATGTCTTCTGGAATGGTGGCTGAAGCGTGAAGGGGCATACGAATGTTTAGCATATCTGGCACGTAAATACCTTGCAGTGCCGGCTACAAAAGTGCCATGCAAATGTCTGTTCTCATGTTCTGGTGACATTGTAAATAAGAAGCGAGCAGCATTATCTCCTGTAAATTTAAACAATCTTTTTTGTCTTAGCGATTGGCTGAACAAGAAGTAGGACTGAGTGGACTTGTAGCCTCTGAAGTATTACATTTTTGTTTTTGAGTGCAGTTACGTGACAAAAAAAAATCTACATTTGTAAGTTGCACTTTCACAACAAACGACAGGTTTCAGAGTAGCAGCCGTGTTAGTCTGTATCCGCAAAAAGAACAGGAGTACTTGTGGCACCTTAGAGACTAACAAATTTATTAGAGCATAAGCTTTCGTGGGCTACAGAAGTGGGTTGTAGCCCACGACAGCTTATGCTCTAATAAATTTGTTAGTCTCTAAGGTGCCACAAGTACTCCTGTTCTTTTTTCACAACAAAGACATTGCACTACAGTGCTTGTATGAGGTGAATTGAAAAATACTATTTCTTCTGTTTATCATTTTTACAGTGCAAATGTTTATAATAATAATACACTTTGATTTCAGTTACAACACAGAATACAATATATATGAAAATGTTGAAAAACATCCAAAATATTTAATAAATTTAAATTGCTATTCTATTCTTTAACAGTGCGATTAAAACAGCAATTAATCACAATTAATTTTTTAATCGTGATTAATTTTTTTTTGAGTTAATCGCGTGAGTTAACTGCGATTAATCGACAGCCCTAATTTTTTCCACTTAAAAAATTGTACAAGAATCTAGTCTCTAAGGCATATTGCTATAACATACAATATTGTAAGGCTGGTTCTGCCTTTAGTTATTCTGAAACAATGCCCAGAATTAAGTAAAGCTGTTCATTTTGAAAGCTGTAAAGTCTTCAACTAACACTTTATTGTAGTGTTCTGGAGATACTGTATTGACGTTTGAGAGGACACTTGCATTATAAACGGTTGTTTCTCCAAGCACTTGGAACATCTTAAGAAAATTACTTATTGGGCTGAAACTTTTGTGCTTGGTAGGGCTTCAAGTGTACATACCAACATGCACATGTGGAGCACCACAGGTGTGTAGGAAAGCAGTATGAAGACAGAGGAATGCAGCTGCAGTCCTCTATTTGAATGTGAGAGCCAATATGAGAGTAACCACTAAAAGGCTTTTTTTTTTAAATGGAAAATTGTAAGGAGAACACTGTCAGATTACTGTTTTAAAATGAATGTCAGTTGTTACTAATAACACCTAAACTCTTAGTTTTGATTAGCATACATCACTTGTGCTGGCTCTTTACTCTTTTTTGCACTTTGCTCATCTTAGAAAATGAAATAGCTTAGTAATCAGTTTTCTTGTAACTTATGCATTTGCACAATGGTGTAAAAGGTGGCTTGCAAAAACTACAAGGGAATTCAGACCAATGTGTTTTCACTTTAAAAATTCATGAAAACCTTTCTATCAATGCTTATTGTAGCAAGCTTAACTACGGTAAACTGGGGGTAACTGAAGACATAAATGTAATGGCATAAACAGCAATACAAAATTCTCTATACATACAGATTATGGTTTCTGTGGGCCCATGACTTCAAATTTCTTGCCTCTGTTTTTCATTTAAAATTGCAGTAACCTTGCACTAAGTTGTTCTGTATTCATGGTAAAATCCTGTTTCCAATCGCTTTTCCATTTGTTGTGCAGATTTTTTCCTAAAACTAGGCTTGTCACCTGAGAATTTAAAAGTTTTACTTTTCAAACAGTTTTTACATTTCCCTGAGAAGTTGGATCTAATGAAGCAAGCCTTACTTATAGAGTTAGTCGTTACAAATTTCAACAAAACATCTTGCCAGAGTTTGCTGATTTGTCAGACGAAGTATTCCACGTAACCCTGTTGATTTTGATGAGGTTCCACTGGAAACCTGTCTGACTGGATTTTGGCCAGCTTGCCCACGCAACTCCCGCCAGGTGCTACTTCAGCGCCAGGGCAGCCTGCTGAGCAGCCTACTCTGGAAATGGGGCTCCCAATAGATCTGGACAGAAAACTGTAATTCCTTTTTCGTGGAGAATTCTGAAAATTTTTGGTTGTTCTTAAAGTGATTATCCATGTATATTCCACGGTTGGTGCACATTTACCCCAAGCACTTGTTTATTGTTTGTCATCCATGTCAGTTGTGGTCGCACCTATGTCTTGAGTGTCCTCATGCCTCCCATTTTGAGCCTCTAGTTGCATGTTCTCTATTCCATCCGTTGATCAATACAGCCTTTTTAGTAGCAATAATATCTGCTAGGAGGGTGAGGAAGATGCAAGCACTCTCGGTAGGACCTCCATGCACAGAATTTCATAAAGACGGGGACCTTGATATCTCACCCAGAGTTCTTGGCGGATGTAACCCCTGACTTCTATCACAGTCAGGTAATACGTCTGCCTGTTTTCTTTCCCAAGCCACATTCCAGCAAAGGGGAGCTAAGCATCACATTTTCCATGTACTTTGGGCACTTGCCTTCGACTTTGACAGGACCTGAGCCATTTTTGATATCCTCCAGATAGGATGAAAGGTCAGGCACAAAGACTTTATTAGATTTCTACCTGCATTAAATACGGCTATGATTTAGCCAACAAAGACCCTCCATTGAGTGTTACAGCTCATTCCACAAGAGCTCAAGCAGCTTCTGAAGCTCTTTGAGGGGTGTTCCAATACTGGAGATGTAGGACAGGTACTTGCGATTCAGTACGTATGTTCACCCAACATCACTCCATAATAGCAGCATCGAGATCTGATGCTCACTCTTTCATGGCTGTCTCACAGTCATGGTTCAGGTAGACTCCTATCACCCACTACTTATGATCTAGGTTGCTGCTTGAGTTAACAGCAGCGGAATATAATGTGGACAAGCACTTGAACCAATGGTGGTCCGTATGTATTTTGTGACCTGCCCTCCTTCCCTGCTAATAGAGTCCTAAAACGCAAGCATTCTGCACTGGTTAGGGCCATCCTTCAGGTGGGAGGCTTAAGGACACTTAAGGCGCAGGCAAGGCCCCAGCAGAGACATTGCTGACCAAAACAATCTGAACTGGGGTACGTGCACACCAAAAGTGGAATGTATATGGACAACACCTTACAGTAACTGCGGTCCTTCTAGATGTAAGTAACAGGGTTTTTTTGTCCTGACATAAAACAAAACCAAATTTTGAAATCTTAAAATCCTCCTCAAAATGGAATTACTGTTCTCTGCCTAGCTCTATTTATTTGTTTGAAAAATTCAATACAATGTCCTGAAATCCTGTTTTGTTGGGGGGCGGGACAGGTGGGGCGGGGGGTTGTGTTGCTGAATAGATCTCAAAGCAGTTGCTTATCTGAAAACTCCTATTACAGACCTACTTTGATGTATGTAGCATTTCTTAATTCTAGTGTCTTTCTCCTGTCTCTCTCCTTATGGCTTGTTACTCAGAAAATACCTTGAAATGCCCTTTTAAAAAGAAATATGCATCTTTCCACAGTACTTAGTTTTCCACGTCTGTGTTTTTTAAAGATTGTTTAAAATGTACAGACTAGCAAATATCTTGGTTATAACAGTTGTTTCTGTTCAACCTGAGTCAAATAATTAACTAAAAAAATCCACAGGATTAAGGGTGATCCATTAAGTGGAAAAACTTCCACCCATCTTTCCCATTTTTCTGATGTACGTACAAATGGGAAAATATAGAATCATTGAGTAGCTTACGTATTATTTTTACATTGCAGTTGTTCACAGATGGAATCACCAACAAGCTTATTGGTTGCTATGTGGGTGACGCAATGGATGATGTGGTTTTAGTTAGAATCTATGGAAACAAGACCGAGCTGTTAGTAGATCGAGATGAGGAAGTGAAAAGTTTCCGGGTGTTGCAGGCCCATGGCTGTGCGCCACAACTCTACTGTACTTTCAGTAATGGTCTATGCTACGAGTTCATGCAGGGAGAAGCACTGGATCCGGAGCATGTCTGCAACCCAGATATATTCAGGTAAACATCTTGAAAAATATTAAAACTCCACAGTGCATTTTGGGAAACTAATGTCTAGGGCCCTACCAAATTCATGGCCATGAAAAACGCGTCACGGACTGTGAAATCTGGTCTCCCACCATGAAATCCGGTCTTTTGTGTGCCTTTACCCTATACTATACAGGTTCACGGGGGAGACCAGCATTTCTCAAATTGGGGGTCCTGACCCAAAAGGGAGTTGCAGGGGGGCCACAAGGTTATTTTAGGGAGGTCACGGAATTGCCACCCTTACTTCTGCACTGCCTTCAGAGCTGGGTGCCCGGAGAGCGGTGGCTGTTGGCCCAGGCACCCAGCTCTGAAGATAGCGCCCTGCCAGCAGCAGTGCAGAAGTAAGGGTGGCAATACCATACCATGCCACCCTTACTTCTGCATTGCGCTGCTGATGGCAGCTCTGCCTTCAGAGCTGGACTCCTGGCCCTGGGCCGCCCAAATGGGGGGGCAAGTGGGGCAATTTGCCCTGGGCCCCGCAGGGGCCCCACGATCCCTGGCCAAGAATCCCTTCCCTGGCTAGAACCGCCTTTTTAATTTTTACTCACCCGGCGGCGGTCCGGGTCTTCGGCGGCGGAGGGCCCTTCAGTCGCTCCGGGTCTTCGGCGGTACTTCGGCGGCGGGGGGCCCTTCAGTGCTGCCGAAGACGCGGAGCGAGTGAAGGACCCGCTGCAGACTCAGCGCACCGCCTGGTGAGTACAAGCTCCGCAGCGGGTGGCGCCTTTTTTTATATCCGCTCCCCTGCTTTGCCCCAGGCACCCTGAATCCTCCGGGTGGCCCTGTCCTGGCCAGCAGCTGCCACTTTCCAGCTGCTCAGCTCTGAAGGCAGAGCCGCCACCAGTAGCAACACAGAAGTAAGGGAAGCAATACCGCATCCTCCCCCTACAATAACCATGCGACCCCCCACAACTCCTTTTTGGGTCAGGACCCCTACAATTACAACACCGTGAAATTTCAGATTTAAATAGCTGAAATCATTAAATTTACGATTTTTAAAATCTTTTGACCGTGAAATTGACCAAAATGACCGTGAATTTGGTAGGGCCCTATCTATGCATAGGAAAGTTGTCAATGTGGAGCATGCTGTTGATAACCATACACAGAAGAACTTATGGAGATGGCTGACTGTGTACACATTTTAGTATCCAAATGCTCTTCTGCAACAACCTAGTGTTCTCCCTCCATGTGGCCATGATAGCTCATTGTTTCCCATCCAGTCTGGAAGGATCGGACTTGGGTCTTGTAGGTAGTCTGCTCCCTCCTCCTCCAGCAGGCCACAGGGCACCATTTTAGGAGTAAGGAAGTGCTGTTGAGCTTTGTCTGCCAGTGCTTAGCTCTTTCTAGCCATCCCCCCTGCCTCCCACACTTCCTTGCTCCTCTCCGTTATAAAGCATACACCTCTACCCCGATATAACACGGCCCGGTATAACATGAATTCGGATATAATGCGGTAAAGCAGTGCTCCGGGGGGGGGGGGGGGAGGGGGGCTGCGCACTCCAGTGGATCAAAGCAAGTTCGATATAACGCAGTTTCACCTATAACACGGTAAGATTTTTTGGCTCCCAAGGACAGAGGTAGAGGTGTATATGTTTTGGGGAAACAAACTTTTTGAAGGAAATTGTGTGACCTATGTATTCCCTGATGAAATTTTAAATTTAAAGTAAAAAGTCACCAATAAGACAAATATAAAAAAAGAGATTTAAATGTCAAGAAAGCAGTAATTAACTACCAAATGCTTTTTGGCAATCTGCTTGTCACCAGTTGAAAAGTAAGAATGTAGCAATACAATAACCTTTATATCTTACAGACTCATAGCCAGGCAGCTTGCTAAAATCCATGCTATTCATGCACACAATGGATGGATCCCCAAATCTAACATGTGGCTGAAGATGGGAAAATATTTCTCACTCATACCTACAGAATTTACAGATGAGGAAGTAAATAAACGGTAAGTGTTATTTTATTAAATATTTGATTACTTTTTTAATAACTCATTTGTCTCAGTTTTCATCACATACCTTATTAACCAGCTGAGGGGGAAAACATAACCAGAGTGTTTTTTAGACACCCCATCCCCCTGACCCCATATCAATGTAAATGCTTCTAAGAAGCAGAATAAAGTGATGGGTTTGACGATCCTTTCTATTTTTTTGGCCACATTCTTCCTGCTCTTTCCTTTCCACTTGAAAAGAGTATGCATTACTAGTCTTGTTCTCCTCCCACAACTAGGACTATGATATTGTCATGTCTGAGAGCCAAGTTGTTCTTAAAGAAGTCACCTTTGTAAAAGTAATAGGAATTCTTGCCTTCTTCCCATCTTATGTTTCTGTGACTTCACTACAAGAGTGAGCAGTGAAATCTGGACTAAGATGGCTTACTCAATTATGTGTTGAAATAACTGGAATACAGAAAATAACTGACCAAGTGCACTAATGTATACATTTCTGTATAATTCCTTTATTATTAACACTATGCTCAGAAGAGAAACTTTTCAATTTTTTTGAACCCCAAAAGGTTCTTAAGTGATGTTCCAAGTCCTCAAATCCTTCAGGAGGAGATGGCCTGGATGAAGGAGAGACTGTCAAATCTAGGATCCCCAGTGGTGCTTTGCCACAATGACCTGTTGTGTAAGAATATTATCTACAACGAGAAACAAGGTAGGTATTGAACACAGCAGTAAGTAGTGCTTCATTCCATACTTGTGTTGTATTTGTATTCTGTGGCAATTGTCTTAGGGTGGGTATAGAATTATAATTCAAATTCATTAAATCACTTATGACTTTTTACTAATGGTAGTAAGTGAAGTAAATTTGCTGCTTGAAATCGAAGTTCAATGTAATGGTAGCAGTATTTGTATAAATATATGAACTGTCTTAGCAGCTATAAGCATAATTTTAATTCTAAAATGTTTTTAGCATGTAGAGAAAAATCTTTATATTCTTATTTTCACTGTAATAATTTAGTCTGTAAAAATGGATTTCAAACTATCAAATTGTCTTTTTGTCTTTGTAATTTAATAGAAGTCTCATATACATTTATAAAAGGTTGTCATGCATTCAACAACAACCTTAGGAGCTAATGTCTCCAGGTTTCTTTGTATTATCAATGTATTGTTCTGATTTGTCAGATACATTGGTGCCAAGGAGGAGTTCCCCAGGGTGAAGTATCATAATGATACTTATGCTACTTTCAATGGCTCAGTTTATATCCTGCATATGAGGTACATAGGCATCTTAATGTTGAAGATATTTTTGTAAATATTATTTTTTAACTCAGAGGTAGGGAGTTGGCTTATCTTGGAAATGGCAAATCAAATTTTTGTTCATTATTTTCAGATCTTGTAAATACTTGAACTCTTGAAAGAAATCCTTGTATTTAAAAAACAAAACAAAACCAAAAAACTAGGAACTATCAAAAGTTCTCATAGAAAACCTTAATTCCTTTTAAGGTTATTCCTTTTAAGGTTTGGTTGTTTAGTGGTTTGAGGTTCGGTTACTAAATGATGCATTCAACAGGCAAACATGGTGAACCAACAGTAAATTTGGGACATTGAAAACAGGGATATTATGGTGCAGAAAAATGCTTTAACGAGACTAGTACCTCAATTTCCCACACCTCCTCCCAAATCCCCAGAAGTCCGTGAGCTGAACTGAAAGTAACAAGTTAATTTTGTAGAAGCATGTTGGTAGTTGCAGGGAAGCTTACAATTGAGATAGTGAAGACTTTCTCTTTAAAGAGAAGTATTTAATTTCAGATTTGTCTGAGTAATTTAATATTAATCTTGTAACTTATCATGTCATTGACAATTAGCTTACCACTAAAGCCAACATATTTGTTTGAAATCATTAAAATGAATGTGAACAGCATTTAAGGTGTTCTCTATCAGACATTCAGCAATAATTGAGGCGTCACGTCTTAGTTTATGTGCCTTACAGCTTACATAAAAATTGATACAAAATAAATATTGAAGTTGTTTCTGATTTTTGAAAAGTGGCTTTGTATATCATTTCTACATCAACTGTGCTCCTTCGACGTGTACAAGTAAAAGATCTTTTAGCTGCAATCCATATATATGCAACCTCTCTTCTGAGTTAGGTCTTTCTTTCTTGCACATAAATACTAGTGCTATATGTTCTGCAGGCCAATGTAGCCATCAACTACACCTTTGCAGCACCATCACCTTCCAGTATATGCCCTTGCATACTTGTGTAATTCTATTAATTTTAATTAACTGTTGAGTTAGTTCTAACTATTGAGTAGGAGTTAGTAAGCAATTTTGTTGAGGTTTTTGAAAGGGGAAAAAACTTCAGTTGTTGACTCTGCAGTGCTAATAGGAATTAAAAAGGGGGTAAAAATTATTTTTATCACTAAAGTCAACAGGTCTGATTCTGAATACACAGATCAGACCTACTGAGAAAAGATGCTATTTTTAGTCACTTTTCATAATAGAACCATGCTTTAGTGTAAAATGCTTAAACAAAAACTATAATTCAGTTAAATGTTCACTATCACGGTTGATAAGCTTAACATTCCCACTTTGAAAACAAATACTATATGCTTCTCTTTTTTATAAACAGAGTGGAGGAAAAAAACAATGCCAGCAGTGCATCACTTTTGAGCAAACCTACAATAACCAGTGTGTGAGTGTTTAGTGTTTGGGGACAAGGTGGGGAGGAGGGAGGAATCTGAATGTAAAGCACTTAGGCTTCGAGCTGGTTGTAAATAACTGAATGGGAAAAGATTTGAAAGTATATGCAATAGCTAGACTGTGTCCATTAAAGCTTACATGCTTGAATATTGCAGCACATCATGTACGTTGTTGTAAGAACTCTGCAATACCGAGATACAACAGGTACTATTCTTATAGTAACCAAACCTCAATGCCATCTGCAAAATGAGTATTTGTATATTGTGAAAGCTGTATATTTTGTACTGTACACTTTTACGGTGCAAAAATTTATAAACCCGTGTTACCTAATCCAGTCTTAGAAGGAGGAACTTCATCTTTATTTTTGAAGTGGAAACTCAGCTTTAACTTTAACTGCAAATAAACATGAATCATATCAAGTATGTTCAGCCAAATAAAGATCCTTTTAAAAAAAAAAAAAAAAAACTCTAAAAATTAAGTATCAGCATGCAATGAATTCTTCTTTGAAGCTGCTTTAATAAGAGCACAAAGAACAATCTTAAAGATGCAGTTCGCTTTCTGGAGTTGTTACTGGCCTAAATATAGGAAGGTAGATAAAAGTTCTGATTATGCAGCAGTATTCATATCAGTTCTTTCAATCTCACCTTGATCTGCTCTCTAAAGAGGCTGGGTCTAAACCTGCACAAACAGAATCCATAATTCACCATTGGTGTTTGTAGCACTTTCATTAGCATGTTGTCTAGTCATGCTTAGGCCAAGTGTAATCAGCATACTATTTAAAAAGCTACAGGTGGTCAGTTTACACTAGCTCGCTCAGAGTAGATAGTCCCACCATTGTTTATCCCAACCTTTTAACTCTACCCTTTCAAAGACTATACTTCATTTCCAGTCTACACAGGGTTTTAAAACTTGCTAGATATTAAAAATAGATTGACGTATATACATACAGAAACAACATACTTTGTCACCGATGGCTTTAAGAATTCTTAAACCTGAACATCTAACCCTCTTTCCAAAGAGAGACTGAAATAAAATGTTGAACTCTAGCATGGTTAAATGGAGTGCATCACTCATTTGATGAGTTGAATTTGCTCATGCTGTGGCTCAGATAAATCTGCCTCTTGCTGCTTTGTTTAATCACTCCGGATATGAAAAATTTCAATAGCGTTACCTTACATAACAGATTTATAATTGCCTAGAAGACTTGTTCTCTGAAAGAAATAGCTCACAGTTTCACTTCATTTCTTGCCCTTGAATATATCTTAATGTGTGAACTGTGGTTTTAAATTTAAGTAACTGACAGTTGGAAGGCATTTATTTATAACCCTTTTGTCGTGATGCTCTTGACTTTTTTTTTTTTTAAACTTGAGCAGGAGTTTCCAAAATCTTTTCTAGACTCTCCGAGTATTCTCAGATACCTTATTACTAATGCTTGTCAGCATCAGATTTCTTTCCAACACTTCTAGAACATCTTCAGTTACTCCTCACTTTTCTTAATCTTGGCAAATATTTTTAAAAATAGCTTAACATTAGGCACCTACATAAGCAGCCTGACTTTTGAAAAGTGCTGACCACTTAACAGATTCCATTGACGGTTGTTACTCAGCACTTCTGGAAATCAGGTCACTGTAACTAGGTGCCGAAGTTAAGTGTTCTGCTTTTTTTTTTTTAAACTTTGGGTGAACGTATTTTAGTGTGTGTCTCGGAGATGGTATTTGTTCTGTGGTAGGGGTTTTGTAGTGACGTTCTCATCACAGCAAGGTGATACACCCTGCTACATTAAGCTTTGTTTAGTTCAGGCTTTCTCACTACTTTTCATAGTATCGCTCACTCTTAATAAAGAGATCATCTTGCAGGGCACTTCCATTCACATTTACTATAACAAGTTATCTCTTTTTCTGTTCATGATTACATAATATTCATACAGCAGTGGCTTATGTCAGGGGAGTAGTAAAGTTTGTTGAACTATCTATAGTGCAATAAAGAGCAGCTAGAAACAGGAGAGTCATCATTTCTTGACTGTCAGCTCCTTGAAGACTGTCAGCAAATCCCCTGTGGATTACCCAACCTCTGATTTCAGTTAATAAACACAATTTTAAATGCATCAAACATAAAATGACATGAACATTGCAGATCACGCATTCATTTTTATATGAACTGTGAAATAGTATGTAGCTTTCAGCATTAAAGCTTTGATAAAATACATATAACTGCCTTTCAGATATAGAATGTTGGGTGCTTCAATTTGAAATATCTTCTGTCTGGATAAACTTTACAGTGGACAATAGTACACAATTATGATATAACACTTTTATAGGTTGCACATTCCACAAGTGTACTTCATGTATTAGATTTCTGTTTTGGGAGAAGTTTTTAGTAGTAGTCAGCATTGGCCTAGCTGTTCCTATTGAAGTCAATGGGAGTAGACTTAGACATTTTAAAAACCCCAATCTAAAAGACTAATAAATTGCTAGTAGCTCAGAGTTCATCATACTGGGAACTAGTTGCTCTTCTGGATGAATTCATCTTTACTAATTCTTAGAGTGTATTCCTATAATTTTAAACATAAATTAATCTAAAGAATGCAGTGATAACATCATACAAGTCAGTTCACTTTCTCTTTATCACCTGCCTTATTTTATAGCAAAATGTTATAATAAAAATTAATGAAGTGATCCTGTCTGTTCATACTTTCTTGACACAGAAAATTGAAGGGAACTGTGTATCTTTAACCTTAATACTTGTTGCAAAAATTAAATTTAAGGTTGAGTTCCACTGTAGAATGGGTCTGAAAAAGGAGAGCAGTAAAATGCAGAACTTTTCTTTTTAAAGTTTTGTGTCTTTTCAAATGTGAGTGTGCCAAATTTTCTTCATCTGCTACAGATTAGGTATGCCATTGTTGCTGCCATGTGGCGGCGTGCACCGTGCTACTTAAACGCACTGACTGGAGGTTTATCGCATCAATTGTTCACGTGCACCTCCCCCAAAGGAGAGCACAGAGCCTGGTAACAGCCTCATCTGTATCTTGTTAGCTTCATATTCTTACTTTATAAACTATTAACTATAACTGGAAATAACATTTTTAAATAAAGGCTAGCTATAATCAGAATAATGGCACTGCAGTCTGAGATAAAATTTGGATTAAATTTTTTTTTTAAAAGTATGTCTTAAGTTGATACTTTGCAAGCAGACTTTTTACCTGCTATTTTTATCTGCTTTATATGCAAAATCCTGAATACAAGAGACTTTTTAAATGATTGGATTTTGTACTGGCTAGTTCAATCGTATGACAAAACAAACATTAACCAGGGTTGGGCTGTGCATTTTTATTGGTTTATATTTAACAGATGAGCTTTAGAGGTTATATGTGCTTAAATCTACAGCACTATTAAGGAACCAGCAAGAAACATGTAATCTGTTTCATGGACTTGCCACGCAGATAACTCTAATTAAGCTGTGACTTTGCTATGAGATCTTGGACTGCAGCCCTTGTAAAATCAATTTCCAGTGCTTTCAATACTTTTAACAGCTTTTAAATCATGGGAACCTCTTATCATGTACTGCTGGCTGGATGTTCTCTGTGAAGGGTGCTCTGCTTTAGTCACTTCCCTGGGTTGGTCTGACCGAGAACATGTTTGTTAACCTTCCAGGCAGGTTGCAAAGCCCACTTCTTCTCTCCTCCCCTCCCCCCCCCCCCCAAGCATGAGGTGAGGGTTGCGGGGTTGGTAAATATTTAAGTAATCTTCTTATTTATTATCTGTTAATTGTATGAGTTAGGTACCTAGATTAAAGGATGGGTGCTTATCGACACATTTGAATAAATAAATATGTGGAATGGGTGGCAACATGTGTAATGGCACTGATTGAAATCTTAAGTACTTGCTGCTGCATGCTGTTTCTGAAAAAAAATTACCAAAGCACTCTATCTGTGCAGAAGGTAACTCAGGAGATGCATGCTCATGGACACTTATAACACATTTTAACTTGTCCTTAATGTCCAGTTTTTAACTCCTCCAGTCTTTTAAGGAAATAACAGCTGCAATGTAGTTGGGTTAAAACATTTCCCCATATCTCCTAAAAGGTTATAATTCAGATCAAACTTAAAATATTTTTCTAATTTAAGCTTAGTGTTAAATTTGCTCAAGGATTAAACTTTCAGTTTTGGCTTCGAGAGAGAATAGTCAACATTAGTAATTGCAAAATTATTTGCTTCATTATTATGGCTTAATATGTATTAAAATCATTACTTCAGAGTCTCTGAAATTTGTAGTACAACCTTTTAGCAAGGGTAAACTTGATACCTATAGAGGAATAATCATGCAGCTTGGAAGGAGTTTAATAATTACAACATATTTCAGGAATAGAGTTTAATTGAATGACCATTAGTAGTTATTAAAGCTCAATATGGAGGAATACAAAATTTAAATCTGAACACGTTTGAGGTGGGTACTATTGAATAGTCAGAAATATATACCCCCTGCACTCAGACGGTTATAGTAGTTGATAGTATATTTTTTTCTGAGACTGCAAGAGCAGTAGCAATCCTGTCTAGCTTATATTACAACCTGATTTCCAGGTGTCCATTTGACTATTGCTATGGAATGGATTTACCAGAGGCGACTCAAAGGCCATCCAATCTGGACGTGATGCACTTCCCACAACTGCCCTCCCAGTTGGCCAGATAAACTTGTTGTAAAAAGCCATTAAGCAACAAGGGAGCGTTTGGGGTAGCGCTATTCCTTTTGTCCACGCTTACTTTATGCTGTAAGGCTTCTGTTACTTGATACCTGCAGGCACTTTGTTTTTGAGATGGGTATTCAAACATGGCATGCCATTGCTTGAAATAACACTAAATTCATTAACGCCATCATCAAAATCAGAAGATTGTTGAATAATTGGGGAAACGCTGTCTTGCAAAAAATGACTGTGCGCGCTACATGTATTCTGTAGTCAGGCTGCACTACTTGCTTGTCAAGAAAGTAGATTGGATTACTTATACTGTACCTATAACTCTGCTAGTTAAAAAGATAGATAAGTAATCTGTATTTCTACCTACTGTTAGAACTAAAAGAGTTTTTATATAGTATTTCTCATTAGAACGGAATCTGAGTTTCTAAGGTAACTGACGCCCTCTTGTGGTAGAAATGGAAACCTGAAATAGCTATTTTGATTCTAAATTACATAGTAAAATACTGAAGCAAGCTGTTGATCAGACTGTATATCTTCTGTCAAGTGAAGCTCATACCATAAAATTCACAGCCTTACCCTGGAGTGTCTCAAGAGTGCATGCAAATGGGCACAAACAGTGAGACTGAAATGTTGGCAGATGTTTAGGGACCGCACTGAATTAGGGCATTGGTTTGTTTGTTATGGATTCTTACGTTTTCATGTTTGTGTCTCATATAGGTGATGTACAGTTCATTGACTATGAGTACTCTGGATACAACTACCTGGCTTATGATATTGGAAATCATTTCAATGAGTTTGCAGGTAAAAAATGAATTGCCCATTTAAAAGTTAATTGGTAATAAAACAATGAGTCTTTTGTTCTTTTATATAGTGCCTTTCATCTGAGGATCTCAAAACTGTGACCATAATGAACCCCTCTGTGCCAACTGGCAAAGGCGTCACTGTTCTGTAATAGCAACTCCCATAGGCCTATCAAACTCACTACACATAATACATTTGTTTTTATAGCATTTATCCCTAAAAATTGTCACATAAGATCTCAAATGAAAGTCCGAATCTTGCTGGTCACATATGGTTGGTGTAACATAGTGTACATTGTGTGTAACATACTGATATGTCTATATACTGAAAATATGTTCTTAGGGCTTGTCTACACTGGCAATTAACAGCACTGCAACTTTCTGTCTCAGGGGGGTGAAAAAACACCCCCCTGAGCGCAGCAAGTTGCAGCGCTGAAAAGCGCCAGTGTAAACAGTGTCCCAGCACTGGGAGCCATGCCCCTTGTTGAGGTGGTGTTTTTTAGAGCGCTCTCTCCCAGCGCTGCGCCACGACTACACAAGGCACATTAAAGCGCTGCCAGTGTAGACTAGCCCTTATAGTTTGTAGCAAGGTTACTCCCCAGGAGAAGTGAGAAACTGGTTTCTTGCCAGACCTGAGATGTTTATCCATCTGTCTCTTGAAATGTAAATTGAGTATTGTCTTATCCACAATCACCAGTCTGAGCTAAATGCACATGGAGACTTGTGAGATTTAAGAAAAATAGATGAACAGCGGGGGGGGGGGGGGGGGGAAACGTTGTCTTGCACACTTTAAAGGTTTATTGGCGTATAACGGGACAGGGACAGCACCCTGTTATCCTGTACTTGAGGAAGTAATCGGGCAGAGCAGTTACATTCGTGAAAACAGGATCCCAACTTGTCCTAGTTGGAAACTGCAAGATAGCTTTTGGGTGAGATAAGATTGCTTTTAGACAGATTGTTGGCCTGTTAAAGTTAAGTTTAGTCTAGTAAGAAGCGTGTTATACTTTGTTTTATATGTAACCATTTCTGTTTCCACTTATTAGCCTTATCTCTTAATTTTTGATAATATACTTATGATTGTTTCACTATGCCTATATCTCAGTTCTGTGATTTTTATAAAGAATCTGATCCTGAGTTGTACCAGTCAACCTGTGTATACACTGATCCTTTGGGGACATCTTAGCTGGTAATTTCTGTGTGTCCCCTGTGATAAGGGCTGGATACTACAGAGGGACTCTTTCAGTGGACCTTGGGAGCTGGGTTACACCTACTGATAACAAGCAAGGCAAAGTAAGGGCTGGCATAGCCTGAGGAAATATTTTGGGTTCCTAACAGACTAGTGAGGTCAGGGAGCACAAGCAAATCTTGTTTTCACTGGTGGCAAGCAGATAACAAGGTGACTCACAGTCTTGGGCTCCCTAGGAAAGTGTCACAAAAATGTATTACGGTCACTGATGAATTCAACTTAAAATCTCTGTGGGGTGGGCTAGTTATGTCCCTACTTCACAGTTGTGGGAACTTAGGCTATGTCTACACTGGCAATTGAACGACAAAACTTTTGTCTTTCAGAGGTGTTAGTCCCCCTCCCCCTCGAAAGACAAAAGTTTTGCCACGGCAAATGCCAGTGTGAACAGCGCAAACACCGCTCGTTGTGGGTAGAAGTTTTTTGTCGGCAGGAGAGTCGACACACAACAGCTACAATGCGTGGCATGTCTGTGGTGATAAAGCCACGTTACTAAAAGCTGTGTAGTGTAGATATAGCCTAAGATGTGGGAAGGCTGTGACTTTGCCAAAGTCATGCAAGAAGTCTGGCAGAGCTAAAAATAGACCTAGAACTCCCAACTTCCTGAGCTCTGCCTTAACTATGAGATAATCCTTTCTCTGTGGTATTAAAAACAATATCATAGGGGCACTGATGCTCCTTCCCTCCCAGTGCAGATACGGTGTGGAAAATTCACAGTTGCCTTCATATATAATAACCTCTACCGCCAAATGACAGTCTTGTGATTCCTTGCACAACTTGCAGTTGAGACTTCGCTTTGACTTGATTTTTGACAAACTGAGAAGAGCAGAACAAGAATCAAAGCTAATGTGCAGATTTGTGTGTGATAGGGAGAAGTTAAGGTTTAAGAACATAGGAAAGACTATACTTGCTCAAAAAGTGGCTTATCTAGTCAAGTCTAGTTCATTGAATGTCCCTCTACAGTACTCTCCTCTTGGAGAGTTTAAATAGGAGTGCCTGACATACCTTACCTGTATGCTATTTACTTTGGGAATGGGGTTATAGTGGGAATTCCACCATAATGATTACAGTACAGCAATGTAAATACAGTACAAGAAGTTTAAGTAATCTTCTATTTGTCATAGTGTTTTCCAGGTTGTGTACTTCTAAAGCGGTCATGGTAATTCACTTTCAAAATTCTTAATTCCTTGATGACAATGTAGCTTACTCTTTGGAACCTGTTTGTACAATTTGTTTTGTTGAGCATTTTATACAAATTGTCCCCCAAACACTTTAGAGTTAATCTTGCCCACTGTTGTTCTTGAAGAGGTATAGGCAAGATTTCAGGTGAAGGAGTGCTGTAGGGAGACATTTTTAACACATGGTAGAAAATGCAGAGAACCACTTTCTACCACCAGAATATTGCATAGGGCTAATGCTGGGTGAGCAGAGATTGACAAAGGTCAGGAATTTAAGAGGAGCAAATCCAAGGAGGGCTTTAAAAAGGTTTGAACTGGATCCTGAAATGGAAGAGAGTTGTGTTGTCATTCTTATATACAGAAGATTATATTTTACCATGTGCAGAATACGAATTCCAGAGAACTTGGACTTGAGAAGGGGACTTAGTCCAGGGGACAGAGGAAGGTGAGGGTGAGAATTTCAGCGGAGATGGAGTTGAGGCAGAGGCAGTAGTATACAAGGCAAAATTGTAGGGTTTGATAGAGGCAGATTTATGATATGCAGAGAGGAGAACTTGGATCAAGGATGATGAGAAGATTAGACAATGGAGACAAATGAAATTTCACAGTTCCAAAGAGAGGGAAGGAAAGGAAATAGAGTTGTGATTGAGTAGGTTCCTTTTGTGTAAGGAATTCACTTCTTTCTGAAACATTAGCTTAATTTTTGATGAAATATAAGTATACCTGAATGTCTCATGTTTTGTAACAAGGATTCAGATTGCATGCAAATCTATTTTCTTCTTTCACTAGAACTTATAGCGCTCTTTGAATTTTCGTGGGAAGATTTTTGGGGAAAAAATTCATAATACAGATGCTTTATTTTCATGGGACTTTCCCCATACAATTGTAACTTGCTGATGTTCAGATTATACCAGACCACAAATACACATGTATGCTAGCAATGGTCAAATATTTAAGCATAGAATCTTTCATAATGTTAGTGTCCTCTTTTGTTTTTCTTTTGGGTTTGAGGGGTATTCATTGATAAGAGTATCCGAATCTGTTCATATTTAGTTTACATATGGTACACATTTGCAAAGTTTCTGAAAAGTATAGGTCATTTATAATTGTGAAGTCAAACATCTGACTTTTAAAAATATATATAAATAAATGTTAATTCTTTTTGTTTGTTTGTTTTTTGTTTTTGAAGGAGTGAGTGAGGTAGACTACAGCCTTTATCCAGATAGAGAATTACAAGAGCAGTGGCTGAGATCCTACCTTGAGGCATACAAGGAATATAAAGGTTTCGGTACAGATGTTACTGAGAAAGAGGTAGAAGTCCTATATGTGCAAGTCAATCAATTTGCATTGGTAAGTTTCTCAAGATTATTAATGTATATACAACACCCCAGGTATGCTTACCACTTTCCAGCCAAATAAAACGGAGTTCCCTGTCCCAAGGAACTTGCAGTCTTAAGATTATGCAATACCTGCAGGAAATCTTTAATACAATATAAGTGTCAGCTTTTCTTACTATTACTGATGGAAACCATTATGCAATGAATATTGTTCAATTTCTATTTGTTTATGTGTTAGACTAACTCAATGTAGATCTTTGGAAAGTAAATGGACTCACTGCTAGGCCTTTACTATCTGGATACATTTAGTGGCTTTATTCCCTAGGTCAAGGCCTTTCTGATGAGGTAAAGCCAGCTAGAATCCATCATCTAGAAGCAACACATTTAAGTTCACTGCAGATTTTTCTTTCACTCCTCTGTTTAACCCTCTTCTGTGGAGGAGCAACTGTTCTTCATAGGATATAGTTTCCCTCAAGCAGTAGCGTAAGTAAAGTCAATTTGATTGAGAGATTTCTCAGTCTCAAGGAAGAACCTAAGGATACGTCTATACTATCCGCTGGATCGGGTAGTGTTCGATGTATCGGGGATCGATTTATTGCGTCTTCTCTAGACGCGATAACTCAATCCCCGAATCGACGCCTGTACTCCACCTCGGCAGGAGGAGTAAGCGGAGTCGACGGGGAGCCGCGGTGGTGGACTCGCCGCCATGAGGATGGCCAGGTAAGTCGAACTAAGATACTTCGACTTCAGCTACGCGGATAGCGTAGCTGAAGTTGCGTATCTTAGTTCAACCCCCCGCCCCGCTAGTGTAGCCCAGGCCTAAGTCATGGAGGGATCTTTCATATTGGCCAATAAAGGTGGGCTGGCATGATAGATTCTCAGTCCTCCTGGCTTTGGTAGTAAGGAATAGATATCAGGATTTGAACTGACCCCATATGTAGTGAAATGAGCCTTACCAGGCCTTATCCTAGATTATTTTTAATTTGAGAACCAAAGAATCTGAGTAATAGAATATTGAACTGTGTGACATGTATCTGGAGCAGTAAGTGTGTCCCTTCCATAGAAATTTTCTAAATAGCATTAAGGTTTAACTTGATAGTTTGAAATCAGTCACCCTGTGTTGATCATAGAATATCAGGGTTGGAAGGGATCTGAGGAGGTCATCTAGTCCAACCCCCTGCTCAAAGCAGGACCAATCCCCAGAGAGATTTTTATCCCAGTTCCCTAAATGGCCCTCTCAAGGATTGAACTCACAACCCTGTGTTTAGCAGGACAATGTTGAGTTGAGGAAAGTTAATGTGGCTTTGCCTCAAGAGTTTGATGTTGATTTTTGTTTTTTTTTGTAGCATAAATGTGTGTGTATATAGGACTTTACAGTAAATAAAATTTGTCAAAGACCAAAATTCTGTGTTTGAAAAATAAAAGGAACCACTGAAGTTCTTTGCATCAAACGTACTTTGACGACTGTACATAGGACACTCATGTCTTGATGTATAGCAAGAAGCTGAAATTTTGGCTCTCTGGTCCTAGATGCTCTTCCATCCTTCCTCTCCTTCCACTGATTTGCCTCTGAAAAGCTGTATCTGCTATCACAGTGCTGGAATATTGCTTAGAACTGACTTCCCAACACCACTTCTTAAAGCTCTAAATTATCCCTGGTCCAGTTTAAGTACTGTCCAGGCTTGTTCATGCTTTGTATAGGAGATGACAGCATGAGGTGTCATGGCAGCAGTGCCTCTTACCCTGCATTTACTTAGGCTAAAATAAAGTCTTTACAAGTGCAGCTATAATGCCTAGTATGCCAGTGGATGTGCAACTCTGGACAGCTAGTATGGCCTTATGATTCCAGTACTCTTTCTGACTTTTTGGCCCATATATATCTGACTAATCTATACATGGCTTCTCCAATTTTCTGGCAAAGGCTGGTAGTTATAGTGAGGAATTTTAGTTGGCTTTCCAAGAGGATGATCCACTAGACGAGTCTTTATTAGAAAATACTGCTCATTTGTTGTTAGCGCTGTTAGTACCAGCTGTGGTAATTATATTCAGCTGTCCCATTTACTTAAATTAGTAAAGCTAGATTTGCAGCTATATAACTCTGTTTTTCAGAATATATAGCATTGTTTCATGAGCTCTAAACTTTGTTCATATTAATGCTGGAGGGGGGGGGGGGGAGGGAGTTTCTATTTACTGAACAGCTTAAGACCGATCTGTAGACCACACAAGTTGTACAAATACTGTAAAATTTAAAAAATAAGGGTTCCTTTAATGTTGACTAAACTTCATTAATGTGTGAGGTCATGTTAGAAAAAACAGGAACTAGAATGAATGAGTATTAGTGTAAAACTCCAAACTGCTACCATTAGACAAATTGATCAAAACTTAAATAAATGCATTAGTGAGATGTTAACGTGCCTGTGCTTTGAGATATTTTCAGATGTGCACTCACACTGTACAGCCTTAGTAAAGGAATTTAAGTACAATACTTGGATTATGTGGATGCTTCGGGAAACAATTTAGGTCATTATTGTAAGCTTTTATTTACAGAACATAAATAGAGGTATGAAGTATCACTTGCAACATGGGTGGTCCAGAAATCATATGCATCTTTCACAAGGGGATTGTGAAGCTGATGGCCACAACACGCAAGTTTCAAAGTTTATTAAAACACATTAGCAACCGTATAATTCATGTAATCCATAGCTTCAGTCTGACATTGAACATATGCTTACAAACTGCTTATCTAAACTTTAACAGGAAGTGGGGTCAGAATAGATTTGAAACTTATGGAAATGCTGAGTTTTAAATGGTTAGTCTCATTAGCAGCACTGGAAAGTGAAGCATTCTGGTGCCAAATAATATCTAATATCTGAAACACAATCAAACAAGTATGTAGATTTGTAATGGTTGTACACTGCTGGAATTCTCTTTATCAAACTGAAGCATAGGTCATTTGTTAACGCTATTGAACAAGACCCTTTCTAGAAGGTGATTCTCATGTCAAGGTGTTTTTTCTACACATCTAATTGACAGCATTAGGGTTTATAACACTTGCTGGTATCTGGTTTCAGAAAACTTACATTTTAGAACAAAATCTTTAATTATAAAATCACATTTTTTTTTCTTTTTTTCTTTTTGTAAATTATAGAATAGTCCTTCAGACAAGCCATTTTGCTCATTCCTTTTAACATATACTTGCTTTACAGAACATTAAGCTAATAATCTTTCACCAATTATTTTTATCTTTAGGCCTCTCATTTCTTTTGGGGATTGTGGGCTCTGATTCAAGCCAAATATTCCACCATTGACTTTGATTTTCTAGGGTAAGTGACTGTACTGTCTATAAATAACAAATCTATTTTCCTCGATTGGAATCCTGACTTTCAGAACTACACTAGGTCTGAGCGAATTGATCCTGTTTTGTTAATAATATGTTCAAGCAGGATGCTCCAGAGATGACCGTACACAATTATTTTTATAGTGAGATTCTATTAAGACAATCAAGATGTCCGGGTAATGTCAGTTCATCCATAAAAGTCTGGATTTTTTATTTTATTTATTTTGCTTTTTGTGGGGAAAAAGTCAACCCTGTATTTTATATAAAAAATAAAATAAAAAATTCTTGTGCTCCAGTATATAGTGTCTTCCATGCATGCGTTATCCAAGCACTTGACAATTATTAATGGATTAAGCCACACGAGCATGTGTTTGGTAGGTGGCATTTACATGGGAGAAGTAGAGGCACAGAAGTTAAGTGGCTTGCTCTTGGTCATACATACGTAAGTGTTTATGGCAGAGCTAGGAATGGAGCTCGGATTTAAGAACCAGGAGATCTGTTCTTATTTAAAAAAAAATAAAAATCCTTCCTTCCAAATAGCAAGGGACATTTAGTCTAATAAATTCTGAATATTTTTCTTTTTAGTGTCTTTTTGAGATACTAGCTGATGTTATTGTGGGGTTTCATGTTCTTATGAAAAATGTTTAAAATTGTCAAATGAATGCCCCTTGCAATATGAAGAAGAACCTATTAAGTTTATCATGACAAGATTGTGCATCTTTTTGGAAATTTTGCTGTAGCAGTTAAGATGCTAGCTTAGTTCATACTTAATATGACTCAGACTAGTAACTTGTGACTAAGCTGATGAAATAGTATGTTGAGATCATAATTTGTTCACTTGAATTTGGTATTGAAACTCACTGGACTAGTGAATCAGTCATAAGATTCTCAAAGGTAAAAGACACTGGATAGTAACCAGTAGATGGCACAATAAATTAAACAAAAGCATCACATGGTACTCCACAAAAGCATGTTGCTGTTGTGAAATTTTACAATAAGATTTCACGACTCTTGCCATAAACATGATCAGACTCTTAAGGAACTTTCATCTCTTTGTAACTTTGTTTCAATTCTATCCTTTTAATAGGTACGCAATTGTTCGTTTTAACCAGTATTTCAAAATGAAGCCAGAGGTCACAGCATTAAAGCTTCCCGAGTAATGAAGAACTTCAGTTCTCCTCAAGTGGATAAGCGATCCTTAGAATCCTTTCTGAGAACAGATACTGAAAAAGCTAAACATTTTGTTTAAGTTCTGTAATGTTCACTTGGTTGTTTTGCTTTACAAATGATGCCTCTAAACAAGTCTTAATGTTAAATCTAATAAGAAGAGCATACCTACTGTTGATATAGAATGGATTAGAAATTTGCTAAATCTATAAGGCTGTAGAGATGGCAATTTAATCCTTACCTAAGTAATTTAACATATGTTGTATGTGATTTATTTATTATGAGTTTAACATGATTCCATTGCTGCTTTCATCAATTTCTGTAAAGGTTGAGTTCAGGCAGTGAAACTGTTCCAAAGGATTTGTTTTTTCACAACTTATTTTATTAAAGTGACATTAACTTATATAAAGACTGTATATGGTCAGTAGAGAATCTTAATCTTTAACTGTATACAAAACAAAAACAAAAAAACCATGAATAGTGGTCATTTACTCTTGAAATGCCAATCACTGGTACCAAGTAATTGAGGGAAGGAAGATGAGGATAAAAGCAATTTTCTGCATAACAGTACTTTACATTTTATAGCAAGGCCTATCTACTTATTAGGGTTAAATATCAGCATTTTGACTTTCCTTCTGCTACTATTACATAGTAGAAATCTGAAGGCTTTATGGCCACCTGATTATTTAGGAACGTGCATAGTATCTGACAGGAAACGTACCAACCTTAACTTGTATGGGAGAGTTTCTTGTTTGTTAAATTTTTCCATTTATTTTAAAGACCACTATTCCAAAATCTCAATAAATTCCTTATGTTCTGAACTATATATATTACTGCAACAGGATAGACTATTGGGTTTAAAACAGTGAACATGAAATCCCGTTGCTCTTGGGAGCAAAACAATACCACTTCAGTTAAAGGATACATAGATTTTAAACCTTTTTCCTTCCTTCCTCATCTTTCCAGCTTGGATTCTTGTCTTTAAATATTTAGGTCCAGTAGTTGTAGATTCTGTTACATTTTCTGGTTTTCTTGCTGTACTGATGGCAAAAATATTAGTAGCCCAAAGTCTCATGTTCAAAGGATGTTCTTGAAATGTGTGAGGTTTGAACAATGGGGCTTTGATCATCCTCAATGTTTTTTAAAAAGCTATTATACCAAGAATGGTTTGAAATACAAAATGTGAATTGAAAAGAAAATGTTTACTTTGTGACTGTATGTTGAGAGAAGTTGGGGATGATGCTTTAAATCTTGGAAATTGCTGTGTTGTTGAGCAGTCAATCAATTCTGATTATTACTCTGAAAAAACTTTGCACTTTGGTCACTGAAGTGCCCACACGTACAAAGTCTGCGTGTATGCACATACAGTATGTGCAAACACACTCACCGTAGGAGTAGATTTTATGGGGAGCCAGTTGCAGACTCGGCAAGAATATTTATTCAATATTGCTTTATAGCATATTGTCAAATGCAGATGGGCTTTACAAAAGCGTAGCTTGTTTCAGGATGCTTAAAGCAATGACATGGATGAAAAACTTTCACCTTATACACCACTTTAAATAGTGTTCTGTTATTTTACAAAAGCAAGTTTTATTCCTTAAAACTAGTTTGTATTCATCACCTGGTGGTTCCAACCATGGATTTCTTACAATCACATTCTTAAAATTTTAATATAAATGGATAAACTTTTCATAAAAAAAACTTGAAAGTGGGTAAGTCTTATTTAGTACTTACTAAACTAGTTTATTAAATTGGACAGATTCTTTTCATAGTCTAAATAAAACTGACCAACTGAAATGGCATTTCCTTCTGTAGCATTATCAAGGATGTTGCTAGAGCTCATGAAAGTGACAGCGAACAGCTTTTTAATCTTTGTACCTGAAAAGTTCTCTCTTCGCTAAAAGTATTATTCTGCCACACTTACCCACATTAAGTAGTATCTTGGTCCATAAGTTGTCCCTTTAATTTCAGCAAGACATCTCTTGAAGTAAGGTGCTACTTAGTGTGAGTACCAGTGTTGGATTCTGAAAAAAATTATTTCAAAATAAAAACAACAAAACCCCCTTTCCTGATAGAGTAAAGTGACAACTTAATTTCTGGCATTGGTAACACATACATATTTGAGAGTGAGCTTTCAAAGTTTTATTTTTAACCTGGTAAATTGGAACACTTACCAGATCCCCCTTTCTAACTATCCCAAGGAGAACTGTTTTAAAATATATACAGCGGTGTCTGTTTATTCTGAAGTACAGTCTAGCTCTTATTAGCCCTAATTCTTTTCAAACTCTTTGGCTATTCAAGAGTGGTGTCCCATACTCTCTGATGAGAGAACCACAAGGTCCAAAGAAGCCCTGGTAGTTTGACCCAGAGAAAACAGCTGAATGAGAGCTTCTTGAGTAAAGTGCTGGCTGAAAGAGGCTTGTTAACTGTGTGAGCAAAGAATCAGCTGTTGTTCGATTCCTATTGTGGGAAGCAGGACTTTACAAAGAATGTATGAACAGGATGGCATCAAAGAAATACCTGATTACATCATCAGTCTCTCCTCCTATTGGAAACTGCCTGCTAGAACTTGAAAATTGGGCTAACCATTCAGGTCAAAAGAGGGTGACACTGCAGATCATTCCTTCTGCAAGAGGGAGAGGGCAGAGCTAGGGTGTCTCCTGTGCATTTTACAGATTCCATTGTCTCCCTGCCCTAGGAGCTCTTCCTATGCTGGTACTGTTTCAGTTTGGAATTGTACTGTAATTTTTTAAAGGAGGTGTTTGTTTATATAGTGCAGGTAACAATCTCTGCAGGGGAAAAGAACGTAAGCTTTTTGTGACTGGATCTCAGCCTCAGTCATGTTGAGCTGCTAAATTCCACTGAACTCCTTTCACAAACCTCAAAAACACTTTGAGGCAAAGATATTATAAATACAGTAATCTTTGAGCCATTTTTAAGAAGCACGAGACTTATCACAGAGTTATAATAGGAGACTTTGCAGTATAGTAGAGACTTGCATTTTCATATTGCACATTAAAATCCATTTTTAGAAAACATGGCTGTGCAATGGCTTCCATTTAAGACTAGCATATGCAGCAAACGTCAAATTCTTAGAGCAGGTTGTTCGTGAGAGATGTTATTAGGAAGTAGTTACTTTTTCCAAAATGAAATGCCAGTCACCTGGAGTCTCACACTTCAACAGTTTTATCCATAACTACTCAGAATTTCCTCTCCTATAGAGGGCATCCTACAAACATGTTCAAATGGGAACTTGGGATGGTGCACGGTGCAAACTTGGGTTTGTCACTGCAAATACCCTACGGCCTGAACATGGGTGAACTATTGAAGCCTTAAAATAAGGAACGCCCGTTTTGTTAAAATTCATTTCCTCATTCTTAGTATTTTGAGGCTATTTAAAAAGAAGGAAAATGTCTCAGAGCTCTAGAAACATCCATCCTGGCTTTGCGTTGCCAAGAAGATACTCTGTTGCCTTTCTGTTAAGCTAAAAGCTTGAATGCCCAAATTAATAACTTTTACTGTATAGTTAAACCTATATTGTAAATATAAAGAAGGTTGTTAGCAATGGCATTCATGCATGTGCAGCATCAGTCAATAGACCATAGTGGCCTGGTTGCTTTTGTAAAGCAGAATTGTGTGAATTTTTTTCTTCTGACACATTTCTACAATCAGACCAGGTTAATCCATGTCTGATTTAATAAGACATTTAAGCATCAGAGCTTTTTAAATAATAGCCAGTGTCATGTAATTTTAAACTCCTTCATCTAGCGTTCTTCTGCATTTGAAAAAGGAATTGTCAAACTGACTCACATTAACCGGGTCTGACTGGATATGTATATACAACAGTGTAAATAACCATTTGTAAATTAATGTGAATTGTACCGTATCTTGCATTTATGGACTTGTGTATTGCATTGTACTCTCTCCTATTTTGTAGAAATTTTGATGTAAAGAAAAAATCCAACTTTGTGTGTGCTGACTTCTTTGTTAAATTGACCATATTCAAGGCATCTGTGTTGTGTGATAATCACATACATTACCTTTAATGGAGCATATTTATGTTTCATGTTAATAAGGTATCCATTATAGTCTACTGCCGCCATTGTCTTTCCATGTGTTTTTATGTTCCCTTGCTTTTGGGGATAAATGAATAGTAATATGCTTAGTTGTGGGAAGAGCTATTCTAGTAACAAGGCAAATGAAAAATGCTAATTAGTGGTAAATTTATTGTCTTTCAACATAGGGAAACTGTTACATCTGATACTCACATCTTAAACATTGTCATACATCACGTGTCATTGGCAGCCAGTAGTATCTGCTGAAAACGTGGAAGTTTTAAGTACACTTCTTTAAGACGTATTGTTGTTCCTGTGGTGACAGAAGTTTGTTAAGGGAACATGTAGACAAATTCCTAAATTAGAAGTTTCCAGTGTACATAAGCTGTGTAATGACAGGAGGATTAATTACTGTTGTGCAACTGTGTATTGTATAATAAAAGGCCAAATAATTAATATACTTCTATCAGTTTCCAGAATGCTACAGTAGCTAAGGTACCAACTAACTAGTAGCCCATTCATATTTATGGAAACTGGTGTCTGCTGGGTACATTCTTCTACCAAATCCTTTTGAAGCCTAGATGGATAAAATACAGGACTAGTACACAACTTTCTCTCTCAATGTAAAAGCTACCTTCCCTGGACGTGTAGTAAAATTAAACAGTTTATTGATGTCTTGCATGCAAGTTGAACAAAAGCAATAGTTTGAAGCAGATTTGGTACCGCTTTTAATAAAATAATCAGCTGTTGATGCCAGTATTTCAACTTCGAAGGGAAGTTATGGCAATCTACAGGTATCTTCGTTCCCTTTGAGTGCTTACTGTAATCTATTAACTGAATTCCCTTGGACATTAATTCCATTTTTCTTGATGCAGTATCCTTTCACTGTTTGCAAGCCAGAACTATTCCCATCAAACTTAGCCTTATTCAAATAATTAATGGCCACTGTATCCACCATACAAAGAAATAAAGACTTTGTATCATAATCAGTTTCTGGTTTAGGAAGTCCCCTGGAGATTAGGGAATTAACCTCAGAAGTGAAGTGTAAAGTTTTGTACACCAGCTTCTCTGAACATCTTTTCATATACAAACTGCCATCTATCTTATTTTTAAACTAAGTTCTTTAGCTATCTACAGTGAAAACAGAAGAGCTTTGAGCCTCTTGCCACTGCTATGTGTAATAGATTTGCTGGAAAATGTTGGTACATAAAATATGGAGGGTAGGAGTATTCAAATATTTTGGTTGTCAAGTTCACAAACACATCTTGGTGCAAGTCTTCTATCCTGTTTATCGCATATAAATATACCAGACAAAAGACACATACACACTCAAAAGGTATATATGTTAATATTGTCTAGGATCTTCAATGGTGCTGTTTGATGGTAATTAGATCCCAAAGGCCTAAGTGTCAAAAGGTCAATATTGGAGGGGAAGGGAATAAATACAGATAAGAGGAAATAATCCAGTTGAAGCACGTGTTCAGACTTCTGTTTTTTGACCTCCTTATACTTAGGCAGCTTATTGATTGGATCAGATTATAAAGGAAAGGGAGCTCATTCCAGCATGATGAAGCCTGGATTTCTTTAAGAAGGCAGTTGGTGGTTAAGAGACATTAAAGTATACCCTTACTTCCTTCCCACCAAAACAACTTTTTTTTTTTTTTTTTTTTTTTTTTTTTTTTTTTAAATAGACATAGTCATGAAATAGAACAGCAATTTCCTGGTAAAACCTTCATTCTTTGTACCAGTTGGAATGTAATTTCTTTTGTTGGGGAGGCTTGTTTTGAAGGCTATCGGGAAGGTTGGCTGCATCCTACCTGGCTGTGAATTTGAGTTGGGTTCTTCAGTGGGTTTTAATGTTTTGTATTTTGATTAATAGGTTCTTAGATGCCTTTTGAAAAGGCTCTTAAAAATGTGCAAGTACTAAACTGGTAAAGTTAGCACCTAGTTCTACGCCATTCCTCATACCATGCAGGATGTAATTACAGTTGCTGAACAGTAAGAGGTGGATCATATTTCCAGAGAGATTCTAGTGCTGGTAGTGTGCATTATCACAACTGATTTTTGTTATACATTTGCTACTATGGATTTGTTGGTTATGAAGGATATGACAAAAGGCTGACCGTGTTCTTGCGCCATGTAGGTGTTCCTTTTGCTAACTGCACAGCTAGAATGAGGGAGGCTCTCCAAGGTGGTAGAACCGCACAAGTCCAGAGGGTACATGACTAACTTTGTGGCCTACAGACCTCTGGAATGGAAAAGAAAATGTGTAAATCGTTTTCACATGCCAGTTGTGTGGTGCTGCTCTAGTGGTGTGATGAGACTGGAAATTCCATTGTCTGACTTCAAGTGGCTTTACCAAATGAGCTGTTTGTGTAGTTTTTTAGGTTCCTAGTTACAGTAAATGAGGGAATCTTCTAAAACTATTGTACTGTATTTTTGTCAGTGCACAATTGGCTAGTTTGCATAATATGAAGTATTTGATTCTTTAAAATGCTGAATAGTCTAGAAGATTCTCTTACTTCAGATGCTTTAATAATAGCTTCTTCATTCACTGTCAAGAGAAAAGTTGATTGAAAACAGTCCAGTAGTGTCAGAGGAATGGTCTAAGCACGGGACTGAGATCCATGAATACCAGCTAATTCAGGAATTGCTACTGATTCCCTTTGTGGCCTTTGAAAGCTGTTTAGCTTTTCTGCCTCAGTGTCCTCAACTTGTAAAAATGGAGAAGAATTTACATGTCTCCCATGGATGGTGTGAGCATTAACTTAATGTTTGCAAAATGATAGGAGTTGTAGTTTCATGTAATGCCCCTGATCATGTTTGTTTTAAAATCACTTATCTTTATATGTATATATATATTTTTTTCACACAACTGGGGAGAAACGCACACAAAACGCAATGTGAAACTGACTTATAGGTGGAAATGGTGTAAATTACCAAACACAATAAATTACCAAATGCACAAAATAAACTGGAAAACAAAAATTCTAATCTTCGTTATAATTTTAGCTGTTTACTTCTGATTGATGTGAAATCTTCAGTCAGAAGTGTGTGGAGGTTTTTTTGTTGTTGTTGCAATGACCCTTTCATTTGTGTATCTCAGATACAGTCTGTGGTAGTGTAACGCAGTGTTGTACATAAGAGCTTTTGATTAGTCTCAGCACTGAGAATGTATCAGTATCTTAAACAAATATAACTTGAAGTAGATTTGTTGGTTCACAAATTTGTATTAGCCAGCTATCCAAAGCCCTGTAACACTTGCAAAGATAGGACTATTGGATAATAGGAATACTTTCCAATGTCATTTCATTGTTCCACAACATTTTTTCATTGTTTTCTCATTTTTAGGTTGCTGTTAAGTCATATGTCCTGTGAATAAAATGCTCCCAATCTTTAAAAAAAAATCATTTCTTTGTCATGGAGTTAACATACGTTCTGTTCATTCATCAGTTTTCATTGGAGTGAACCGTTTCTTTTGAATGAAACATTGTTGGAGCTATGTTATAATAAAGGCCTTCTACCATTGATTAAATGAAGGAATGTATCTTTCAAAGATTTATATTGTGTAAATAATTTAAAACTGGTTGTAACAATAAAGCTGGTTTCTAACTGCATTATTAGCATATATTTTGATTTTGCTTTTCACTTGAGCTACGCATGCTGCTATCTTTTACTATTGTCAAGGCTACATATTTATTATAAACACCCATTTCCAGGTGTTCATGACTCATCTGGAAATAAAAATTCCCTGGGGCTGGTACTTGGCTTACAAAAACTATAAGCCTATTAACATTTCTATTTTACAAATTAAACATTGCTAGGGCCATTAACTAGTACATGTTTTAAGAGGGGGAGGGAGTGGAGAAGGTATGAATGAACCACATAACTGCTGCTGCTGCTAATAGCAGTCAAGCAACTGACTAGTGCACATACAATAGTTAACTACCTTCCAAGAAATATGCTGTGGATTTTACTATGCATATTTAGGGCTGGATTATCACCAAAAAAATCAGACCCATGTCAAACATTAAGTAGAAATCTCCTTTGATATCTGTAGGGATTACTGCCCAAACTGATGACACAATCTTGGCCCTTTGTGTTCCAAGGCTCTAATAGCGGTTGACATGTTAAAATGCAGCTTGACATCATCTTACTGGAGAGGCATCCCCTCACACACCAAATAACACCCTGTCATCGTTCCATCCTAAAAACGGGGCATGGTTTTTTTAGTCGTGGCCAAATTATTTATATCAAACTGTCTGCAATGAGCATATGGGGTTGGAGGGGACTATTCCTTGAGCCAAATTCTGCCTTCTATGTTGTACATGCAATGCCAACTGCTGTCAATGGGATTTATATTTAGAATAAGATTGAAGAGAGCAACATTTTGTCCTCCGATTACATGCATATATGTTTGAAATAATGTCTGCCATTTCCTATGTATAGCTAATAGGGGGAGATAGAAAAAACTGATGAGTCTTTTAAAAAATAAAAAAGCTGAATGCAAATGCAAAGTCCAGTATTTGAGCTGTGTGTAATGACCCTACAGTGGACACTAAACTTAATTTAAATGTATATTTTGTTGTATTCTATTTGTCCTTCATCTGATCTCAAAGAGAACATTAACTGTCAGAATATTTCTTTGAATTAGGAAAGTAGTGGTAGTATGTTCACACTAGTGAATGCTATAGTTGCAATTGTACCCATTGTACAATGGGCTTAACATGCAGAGAGAATTGTTCAACATACTGAAATGCACTTTGCAAATCAGTGACAGAAATCCAATAAAGGAGTGCTGCCTAACTTCACGTGACAATGAATTTCCCCTCATCTTTTACAATAATTAATAATGTTCATGGTAATAAATACTCAGAAGTAAATGGTTTTAGATTATCAACTGTGTCAGCTTCA